TAATGAAAATACCACATCTACTTTAGACAATTAAGGGTAAACTGAAGGTAACATTTAATGTAGTATTGATTGACTGTATCAACAAAATGACGGCAGACATCTGTATGGATGATAGCAGTTAGGAAAATGCTACCAAGTCTATCAATACAGATTAAGTAGGGGTGGGATGGAGCAGACTTGATGGCTCAGAGTACTGGTAATGGAATATGGAGCCTTTCACCTCCAGCACACTGACTCGCGTGAGCCTAGGTCAGTCTGTGACTGAAAGTCATTATCATCAGATGGTTCTTCAGTGAAATGAGTTTGTCCTAATGGCAGGCTGTCTGTGTCACAAAACACACCATCTATCATGAATGACACTACATTGAGATATTCAGCTGGAAGGCTGGAATGAGAGACGACAGTCTCCACATCCCTTGTACCCTGGCAGGGTGCAGGGGTAAGGACAGTTGTCCAGGGCTGCTCTGCTACAGGCTATGCTGCAAAGGTTTTAGGAACGTCTGATTTTAGGGACAGTGGTGCTAAATACTAACCAAGCAAAGAGCAACAGGAAGGTAGGTAGCTGTGCTAGAGAAATTGCAACTGAAATGTAAGACAAGACATGAACTAACAGATAGAAATAGTAAATACGGGAGAAGCACAGTAGGAATCAGCTCAGCACACCAGTGGCATCAAGTAATGACAGCTATCCTGCCATATTTGTCTTTTGGATGGATTGGAGAGTAACAGTGTTACATGGGGAAAGCAAAACTGGGTTTGTTAATAAAACCCCATGAATAAAAGCACAGTGGAAGCCAGTATCCTAGGTAAGCTAGAGGCAAGAAGCAACATATTAAAGCTAAGTGAAAACAAGACAGGATAGGAATAAAGGATTTTAAAATGAAGGCAAAGTGCATACAGAGCTGGCGTAAAGACAGGAGATACTGGAGAGATGCAGAGGGAGCAATGACATGGACAAAGGGATGAGCAAAGGGCATTATTTCTTTCAGCAGCAGTTCTGGTTGGATATGAGCAGAGCAAGACTGTACATGTTGGAGGGGGAATACTGTACCTTTTAGAAGTTCTGGACTAAGGTATTACTTGAAAGATTTAATAACAGCCTGAATAGTAGCCCCACAGTTGTTGTTTTATTGGCAATACTCGGGCTACAGTTCTGGATGAGAGACGTGGCAAAACTCTTACTTACAGTGATGGCAAAATGAATAGAACAAAAATAATTAAGAACATGCTTTCATATCTTTGAGCTTTACCTGGTGGTTAGACATAGATGAGGAGACATCAGGTTAGACAGCAGACAAGTTGTTCCATTTTGGGGAGTTAGTTTTCTATATGTTAATTTAATCTGTGTTGTCAACTTGGAACAAAAATGTTGAGCATCATTTTCCAAACTTTTATCTACTGAACTCTAAAAGCTCAGGGACTGCTTCTAGGAGCTCTGCAAAAGATAAATAAGAAAAGGAAGCCTATTTTCAGTAGGCTTAACTTAACTTCTATTCAAAAAATTTTCACAAATCGTCAAGTTGAAAACCACTGCATAGGAGGAGAACAAAAAGAGACAGATTCTTGTCAAATTGTCAGAGTAAGTTGAAGATCTTGTGAAGAAATGAAAAACAGGAGGAAAACCAGGAAAAGACAGTCACTGAAAACAACGGCCAATACATTTTCTTCAAAATTTTGTCAGATTAAAATTAAACCATGGAAGTTTAAAAAACACTTTTGGATCTTTCAATTCATCTGCTCAAGGCATATGGCACCAAATTGATGGGTGTGGCAAAATCAATAAAATATTCCTCTCTGATTGATATACATTTCAGTTATAGTTACAGATTTAGTAATTGTATCCCTTGTGTATTTATACCTGTAAGAGACAGATTATAAATATCCTATGACATATATACTCCACCCAGGCTGCTTCTTATCCTACAAAACACAGCAAGCCTGTCAGCAGTACTTTCTGTCATCTAAATGACAACCACCCTTCTGACCATTCTACCAGTATGCATGCCTTGTCTGCAGAAGAAACCTTGCGGTGGGAAACAAACATTTTTCCCATAAAAAGAGGATTAAGAATGAAGAAATTAAAGACAGTGAAACTAAAAATGGTGAAAATTTCTCAGTGGTTGTACAGCTCCTTTTCATGAAGTCGTAATTCCTTATGACTTCTTTATGGATTCAGCATCGAGGCTGCTGGGCATACTCGATAAGGTTTATTAATAAGGTTTATTACCTAGAAGAATAACTTGGTGGTGAAATGAATATCGTGATTAGGTGAAATTAGGTGAAACTGAACTAGAACTAGATGTATTTTGCTACAAGGACTCACAAGGACAAACTCCTCAGCAGTGGTTCAGATAACACAAAATCATGTAGCCGGGTACAACTGATTCTTATATTCCTTCATGTTTATTTTGGTTGTGATTACGCAGTCAAAAATCACATGTAACAGCTATTTGAACGTGATTGCTGTTTTGCACATAATACTGTATTCGAATATCCATGAACATAATCATGACTTGGGTTTAACTGAATGATATCAAAATAATCAAGGAATCAAAATAAAGTATTAAAATATTTTACATGTATATGGTTCCTGGTTTACCATTAGGAGTACGAATGAAATAGAATATTGTTGAAAATTCTGAGCGCACAGTAGTCAGAAAAATCAGACGTGGTGCCCACGGTGGGTCCCACAGGGGACAAGATACCCTGAGAAGAAAACATAAGGTTGGGTCCAGTGATCTGCCATGTTCAAAACAGCTGAATACCCTTAGTGTGAGATTTCTTGGCAGAAAAGGTACAAAAAAGCTTTGTGTCTCACCGCTCGAAATCAGGACAGGCTGTATTTCTGACAAATTTGTTTCATTTCAGCCATCCATTAAGTGTGCTACAGAAATGACTGGAGAAAACTCTGCGGTTTGGTACACGTGCCAGACAGAAGCTCTGATGAATCAACTTTTCTGTAGGCTCATTCTGACTCTGTACACGTGTCATCTAGAAAGATGGGAAAGTTCAGCCGGGTATGGCTTTCGCTTCCTAAGTAGCAGAGGTAAACAATGCAAGTATTTCTTTTTTGTGTATCTCTCCTTACAGAGGAGCATTAATACTTGGTTACCAACCGCCATTTTGTAGGAAGCAGAGCATGCACGTGCACTACTAATCAGTAAACTATTCCAAGAGTCAGCAGCTTACTTCTTGCACCGAAGTAAATGAATTAGCTGTTGCAAAGGACCTAGCGTCATCTCAAGGTGGTGAAAAACTACCTGACGGCGTTAGTAATTTCCCATGCGTTATTTTCTTAGGACCTTAAACCTAAGTTCCCACCGAAGCGGGCTTGTGATGGTGATGACGTGAAGGTGGTCAACTGCTTTCCATTCTACGCGTCTGGAGCAACAATTCTGATACAGGTAGGCAGCAGCGCGGTAAAAACCGAGCGGCGGGTGTGAAGCGGGGGCGGGGGGGGCGGGATGCTGAAACACTCCACGACTGAACTTTCAGCCTCCCCCAAAGCATCTCCGCGCGGAGACCCAGCGAGACGCCCGAGAGGCGCAGGCAGGCGGGAGCTGGCGCGGCGGGGCCGAGGCCGGAGGCGAGGGCCGAGGCCGCCGCTGCCCGAGCACCCTCCCCGACCCACCTGCGGCCGCAGC